CGTTCAAGAACCGTGGTATTGAAGGAAGAAGTTGAAGCTGCACTAAAGGAATTGGCAAAGATCAAGACTCCAGGAATTGATAAAATACCCACTGAGATGTTTCAACAAAGGAAGCCCCCTGGAGGCATTCCATTGGCTATGCCAAGAGATTTAGAAGACAGCTTCCTAGCCAACTGACTGAAGAGATCCATATCTGTACCCATTCCAAAGAAAGGTGATCCCACAGAATGTGGAAATTATTGAACAATATCATTAATATTACATGTAAGTAAAATTTTACTGAAGATAATTCAAAAATGGTTACAGCAGTATTTTGATAGAGAGCTTCAAGAAATGCAAGCTGGATTCAGAAGAAGACCTGGAACAAGGAATATCATTACTGATGTCTGATGGATCTTAGCTGAAAGCAAATGCAAGAAAGATGTTTAATTATGTTTTATTGACTATGCAAAAGCATTTGGCTGTGTGGATCATAACAAATTATGGGTAACATTAAGAAGAATGGGAATTCCAGAACACTTGACTGTACTCATGAGGAACCTGTACATAGAACAGGAAGCTCGTTCAAACAGAACAAGGGGATACTGAATGGTTCAAAATCAAGAAGGGAGTGCGTCAAGGTTGTATCCTTTCACCTATTCAAACTGTATGCTGAGGAAATAATCCGAGAAGCTGGACGATATGAAGAGGAATGTGGTATCAGGATCGGAGGAAGACTCATTAAAAACCTGTGATATGCAGATGACACAACTTTGCTTGCTGAAAAGAGGATGACTTGAAGCACTTACTGATGAAAAGACTACATAGTATTAAAGTCTGTAGTATGGATTACATCTCAACATAAAGAAAACAAAACTCCTCACAACTGGGCAAATAAGAAGCATCATGATAAATGGAGAGAAGACTGAAGTTGTCAACGATTTCCCATTACTTGGTTCCACAGTCAACACCAATGGAAGCAGCAACTGAGACATCGGAAGACGTATTGTATTGGGAAAATCTGCTGCAAAAGATCTTAAAGAGCAAAGATGTCTCTACGAAGACTAAGGTTTGCCTAACCCATGCTATGGTGTTTTCAATCTGTTCACATGCATGTGAAAGCTGGACAATGAATAAGGAAGACCAAAGAAGAGTTGATGCTTTTGAGTTGTAGTGTTGGTGAAGAAGACTGGAAGTAGCATGGACTGCTAAAAGAACTAACAATTCTGTCCTGGAAGAAGTGGAGCTGAAATGTTCCTTGGAAGCAAGAATGGCCAGACTTCATTTAACCTTTGGTCATATTGTCAGAAAGGACCATTGCCTGGAGAAGGATATCATGCTTGGTAAAGTGGAGGGTCAACAAAAAAGGGGAAGACCCTCAACAAGATGGATTGACACAGTGGGTGCAACAACGGGCTCAGGAATAGCAAGTATTGTGAGGCTGGCACAGGACCGAGCAGTGTTTGGTTCTGTTGCACAGAAGGTTGCTATGAGTGGGAGCCCACCCGACAGCACCTAACAACAACAACAAGATAATTATATAACCAAGAAAAAGTAGTGAGTTATATAGTCATATTATTTGAGTAAAATAATGACATCTTTCAAAACAAATTGTCTTGACAATCTATACAGTCTTAAAAATACGAGAAAAGATGACATTATGCTGAGTGAAAGAACATTATGCTGAGTGAAAAAGTCAATCACAGAAGGACAAATATTGTATGAGCCCATTACTGTAAAAAGACAAAGAAGGGTTTGCTTAAGGAAAGGAACTCACTTTTTAAGTTACTGAGGTGGGGAGGGAATAATTTCTGGCTAGTTGGGGGCCACATGCTGAGGTGAATAAGGGGGGGAGGTATGGAAAGAGTCTGTGACCACCATGATAACATTAGGAAAAGGGAGGACACTGAATTGTGCACATAAGATATAGATGACAGAAGCTAATACCAGTATATCCACAATACTGCATTACCATTGACACGAAACACCAGACTACAGAGCAACACATAAACATCTGAGAAGATCAGACGGGGTCAATGAACAGGATTATACTCTAGACCAAGGATAAATGCAGCTGAGGCTAATCTTGCACAGAAAGCAGTGATACAAAATACCCACAATCCTTACAGAAACAACAGAAAACAGACATAGAGCAATCCCTCACAGACAGCCAGACACTGTGCAAGAGAGATCCAGTGGGTCTATCATCTCAGGTCCATAGTACTGAGGGACACCAGACTCAACTGGTACAACAAAATACATGAAAGTCTTGTTCCACAACCTACATTGGTGAGTAGCAACTGGGGCCTTAAAAGTTTTCAAGTGCCCATCTAAGATGCAGGTAATCGTCTCCTATCGTCTGCAGCAAAGAAAAGTGCAAAAAATCAGGGGCATTTGGAAGCAATCAGCCCTAGGACATGATGGAGTTTGAGACCAGAATAACTAGAGGTGCTTGCCTGGCCACCAAAGCCAACCACTTGGGAAAGGATGAAACTGGACATCCTGGATAGAGTGGGAGGAAAAACATTCAATAAAATCCAAAAACACAATGACCAGAATTACTAGTCAGATGGAGTCTGGTAGGACTCCCAATACTATGGCCCTGGAATATGCTTTGGGCCTGGAATAAAACTCACTCCCATGGTTTGGCTCTCAGCCCAACAGTAAATAAGATGTACATGCAGACCACTCAACCCAGGGTGACGCACCCACATATTCTATGAAGATGCATCTCCTGAATCAACCAACCATGGGGCACCAGAGGGGCAACATTCACATGGAGGAAATGCAGGACACACAGGAGGGCATCACTAGGGGGGTGGGTTATTGGGAAGAGAGGGGAGGAGAGTGGTTTAAGGTTGAGGATGGTAATTAAAAAAAAAAAAAAAAGATACTAGAAAAATACAAGACCTTTTAGTCTCTTTGGTTACTAAGACTTGTTTAAAATCCTTACAACTCTCTCCAATGTACTCTATTTGCCAGATCTTTACTGTTTCAGTTGTATCTGAATTAGTACTATTCCAGTGATTTACCCACTTCCTTTGAGAAGTGTTCCCTGCTGTCTTTATTGGTTTTTCTTAAGAATTTCCAGTAATTGGAAGCTCTTTATTTAGGTATGAAGAACCATTTCAACTTGATCATAAGACAACAAATGGGCCAAGCTTGCTCCACTGTTCATGTATTTTTTTACTCCTAATTATTTTTTATTAATAGATTTTACTTTTCACTTTTTAGAGCACAAAAAATTGAACAGAAAGTCTCTAAATATTCCCACTTCTCCCCAACCCAGTTACCCTCATTATTTACATTTTGTACCTGTGTGGTACATTTATTACCACTGGTGAACCAATATTGATACATTAACTGAAGTCCACAGTTTACATTCGAGTTCACTCTGTGTTGTACTATCCTACTGGTTTTGACAAATACAGTTCATGTACTCACCATTACTGTATTACACAGACTAATTCCACTGCCCAACAAATGCCCTGAACTCTACCCCCACAACCGTCCTCTTCATCCCTCCTCTCCTCTAACCCATCACCAGCAGAATCCCTGAGAGTACTATTCTTTTTACTCCCTCTAAACTTTTGTCCTTTCCAGAATAAAATATAGTTGGAATCAAAAGCATATGTGAGACTAGCTTTTTTAATTTAGCAAATATATTTAAAGTTCCTCCATGTGCTTTCTTAGCTTGACAGCTCATTTATTTGTATCACTGAATAATATTTTATTGCATAGATGTACCACAGTTTATCCATTTACCTATTAAAGAACATTTTGGTTGCTCCCAATTTTTGGCAATTATGAACAACACTGCTACAAATAACAGCACATTTTTATGTGGACATACATTTTTTGCTCATTTGATGAATACCTAGGAAAGTGATAGCTAGATGGTAGAAGACAATGTTTAACTTTGTACAAAACTGCCAGACTATATGCCAAAGGGACTGTATTATTTTGCATTCCTACTAGCAATGATAAAGAGTTCCTTTTGCTCCATATCCTTGCCAGTATTTGGTGTCATCAGTGTTTTGGAATTCAGCCATTCGAATAGGTGTGAAGTGGTATATCATATTTAAAAAAATTTTATGATACAAACTACCATAATATTTAGTAAATGATCAGTCTAGGAATAAGGGTCAATGAACTACAAAGAATTTGTTAAATGACCTTATCACAAAAAACTCAGAGGAAACTCATCAGAAGGAAGTTAGAGAAATGAAGGAAAAGAAAGAAAAAAGTTTAGTATAAGAGATCTGCTCATCTACTCTGTACCTCCTAATTTGTCTCATCAAAAGAGAAAATTGCTACTGTAGTGTCCTGGTGCTAAAGACATTTATTCACATGTTTCTCTGAGGCAGACTGATCACAGCTTGGCAGAGAAAGCCATTGCTTTTGCCCACCCTAGCAACAACCACTTCTGGCATTCTCCTCCTCAACCTACCCCCTCCCCATCAAGTGAAAGCTCTCTGTTCCTCACGGGATTTATGAAAAAGCACATTTTCTACTGTAAGAAAAGGAATAGTTAGTAGCATTTTATAGCAATGTCACAACAAATGTATAACTGATAGATGTTATAAAAAGAGATTTTAGAACATGTCATATGAGTTCTTCACTAAAAAACAAAAATTAAACCCCAACCACCTGATTTAAAAATAGTGCCTTCTATGGATGTAGAGATGCTATAAGTGAAACCAAGTAGGGGAAAATTAAAGTCTATTCTTCTGTCTTCACAGGCTGGATTTATTTAGCCAACCTGAGAGAGACAAAAGTTTACCTCATTTTTAGAGACTATTTGTGAAAAACATTTTGCAGTTCCTTTGAGTAAACTTTTTCAATGTTTAATGACTTTTAGTTATTTTCCTAAATTATAGATTAACTCTCTCATTGTTGAAAACGTCATGTAAGACACCTTTCATAGGTAAGATGGTGCAGGGTAAGGAACACTGTTATAAATATGTATTTTGTGATTTTATTCCCTTAGATTTTATTTCAATATATTCTTAGAAATTTACCTCTGCCAGCTGGAAGAGTGCAGACTTTCCACAGCGTTTTACAGGCTCAGCACCACCCAACTGTGAAGTGTTTGAAGAAATCTGTATCGAAAACAATTGACATAAGGAATATTAATTGTGATATCAGATCCCTGTTTCCCATTTATAGATGTTCAGAAACTCCTTTGTTTATAGAAATGTCAGTGTTCACAAATAACAAATAACTTCAACTCTATGTACCATGTTTGGAACAATCATTGTGAGAACCATTTTTAGAAATAACCTCAAAACAACAACAACACAAAAATCAAATTTGGTTTTGGGGGATTACACATTTTAAATTTAACATTATAACCTTTAAACCAGATATGCACTTCCATGTGTATTTAAGTATCAACTCATCAACTGGCCAAATTTAAAAGACAGAGAGTTATTTTATATTTATCATAGCAATTATTATTTTGTAAGGAATATATTTGGGATTTCTTTGAAAAGACAGTGGCAAGTCAGTCAAAAAATATTTCTTTGTGAATCCTACACACACACACCACACACATATGCTGGGCCATATGACAGGCACTGGGAAGCTATGAGTTTTATATAAGAAATTGACCATGATACAAAGGAGAATATGCTCCAAAGCACAGGCAAAGACTGACAATCAAGATTAGAAATCTAAATATGTGATGCATTTAAGGACCAATGGTGTAGTAGAATACAGATGTTCAAAGAGTGGATTTATACAGATACAAAATAAAATGAAAACTAAATAAAAAGAAGTATTTGACTTACATCAAACTGACCTATGATGGAATCACTAGAACAGAACCCTGTTGTAAGTTGGGGACGTAAGTTGTACCTACCACTACACTGACTGCATAATATTCTGACAAATTTGGCTTATAACCAACTAGGCACTGATAAAACTGAACAATACCACCCTTTCCATTTTTATATGAAAACTTCATTTTTAATTTTATGCTGAACTCAATAAAGCTCTGAGAGAAACATAGGAATCCTTCACAAAGGATCTTTAAAAAGTATTCCTCTCCTCGGAGATGTACTGTCATCATCAGAGCAGCCAGCTATGACCTATGCTTTTTTACATTCTTCATGATTCTGAATTCTCCTTTCTTGGTTTAAGACAGAGCTTGTGGTTGGATCGTTACAGATGGATCCAAACCCCACAGGGGATTCTCTGGAGTTGTTACCTTAAGGAGTAACTGGTTGCTGGCTGTAGGAAGCTCTCCTCGAGTTATCTGCTGAATAAGAGGCCTTTGTGGAACCATTAAAGAGCTACCCGGACCATTAAGAAGGTTCTTGTTTAATAAGATCAGCAAGACTCTTTCCTCATAAGTGCTGTCAGTTTTAACAGAATTGTGTCCTATTCACCTCACTCGTTTACTTTTTTTTTACAAGAAAAACTTACAGGGCTCATTCTTTCAAAGCCTGAAATATTTTCCTCTAGTTGAATTTTCACCAACAAATGCCACTTCTACCTTTTCTATACAACTTGAATTCGATTACTCACCTTATCTCTAGACTAAGAGAAAATAAACATTAATATTGGTGACACTCAGCAATGGAAGGGAATGAAGTACTGAACATAATGCCAGCACCTTGAACCAAGGCTGTATAACAGAGAAGTACATGGCCTTTGGTAATAGACAGACATGACTTCAGTATTTTTTGCTGTATGGACTTAAGCACATAATTAAGACTCTGAACATCATTTACCTCATCTTCAAAATAGAAATAGAATACCTGCCTTGTGTTACTGTTGCAAAGATTGGATTTGATGTTTGTGAAGGGTTGAACACAGTGCGGAGCCCCCATTATGCTCTTAATAAATGAGTCTTAGTTATAATGATTTATCATTATTAACACTAATAAACATAAACTCTTTCAGTATATTTCCAAAATTGAGTTACATACAGAAATCAAATGGAATTAAAAACAGCAGTCTGAGGACCATAATTATTAAACGTATTTATTTTCAGAATATTAATTTTGTCACATAATAAAGCTATACCTTCTAGAGATACTGAAGGACAAGCTGGGTAACCCCTGCATAGCCCATCTACTGTGTTTCTCTGGTTCTTCCACTAGCTCCCTCTGCTGTCGCTCGGTTGCTGTAAGTTTGTGCTCATTGATGTTGTGTTTGCTTGCCCATTATCACATATCCTGTGCCTAAAGTGGTGCGTGGCACACCAAGAGGCTCAAAGAAGAACTACTGTCTACATGGATGCATGGTGTACTGTCAGTTAATGCACAACAATCTGAGTAGGGGCTTGAGAATGATTCCTGACCTCTCAAAAAAAAAAAAAGGAACTGCCCATGCTTAGTAAGAACACATTTTCTTATTGTGTCTGGGAAGATTTTTACCTATTTCTTTGCATAGAGCAATACTGTAAGGACTCAAAGTTGCTGGAAGCCTGATTTCTAAAGGGAAATATGGGGAGAAGGCTCAACATAGTTTAGTACTGAAACATTTCAGAAATACCTAGCGATAAAATGTCCAGGAAGTGACTTAGTGGCTATATATGCTTTCTACAAATGCCTCTTGGCTTAAAAAAATTTTTTTTTTGGAGGGAGGTGTAGTAATGAAAAACTGGAACTATGTTAATTCCATGGCTTGATCCTAACGTTGATTCTCTGCAGTATGTGACATTGCTGATCTTTCTTTTCAGAAACTTCCCAGAGCTTCCTTTACCAAAGAATCCTTACTTTCCGCTTACCTTTCTGGCCACTCCTGTCATTCTCTTTGTGGCTCTTCTTTCTATGCTGTTGTTGTTAGGTACTGCCTGGTCAATTCTGACTTATGGCCACCCCACATGATACAGTAGAACTGCACCAAAGAATATTCTAGGCTGTAATTCTTATAGAGCAGATCCCCAGGTCTTTCTGTCTTGATGGGTTTGAATCTTCAACCTTTCACTTAACAGCCCAGAGCTTAATTAACTACTGCACCACCAGAACTCCTCCTTCTTTCTATAGTGATCCCTTTTATGTTGTTTTTCCTTAGAGTTTTGCCTTAGGCTTCTCTTTTCATGTTATACATTTTCTCACAGAGCTCTGGTGGCATAGTGCCTAAGGCATGTGACTGCTAACCAGAAGGCTGGGCGTTCAAACACACCCGGCATTCCTGGGAAAGAAGACTGTACAATCTACTTCCTTAGAAATACTGCCTTGGAAACCTAAGCAGGGGTCGCTATGAGTCAGGAACCACTCGATGGCAGCGAGTTTTTTTGGTCACCTCGTCTACTCTGATTGCTTCAATTAAAAACATACCTTGTATAATGCTGATTTATTATATTTGCCACTACCACCCCGCAATTTTTTTCCTATTTAAGAGACACATACATCCATTCGAGTAAGAACAATGCAATTAACATTTTCAATAGCTAGTCAGCTAGTGGAGGGAAGGGTGTTACACAACACTCCTGGCCAGGGGGCACTAGTGGGCCATACTGCATAGTATATTTGAAGCTGTCTCCCCTCCCCCCCCAAATGGGAGGGTGCTTGCCAATCTGTTAACTCCACTGCACTCTCTCTCTTTTGGCTATTATGTAATGTTCTGATAAACAGTATACATTCATTAGGTTAAAAAAAGGTGGGTGTAATAGTACTTGAAGTATAGCAAAAAGTGCTAAGAAAAATTATCACTCTGGATTTTAACCTGCTAATTTTATGGCTGCCTGAGGTGGCTGAGTGCACCAAGGAAACAGATGGTAAAGATTAGAAGCCAATTAGGTAATGGTGGAAGTCTTTTGCAATTATGAAGGGTATCATAAACATTGTAGCCTGGGAGGAAACGGCCGATAATTTAATGAATAAATGAATCAAATAACAAACGAATAAAATGAATCAAATAACAAACGAATAATATGAGGATGACTAGCCTTCCTTACTTTAAAAGAAATATTAATGTTTCCAATAAAATACACAGTATTTTAACTGATTAGCTGCAGTGTGAGTATATGGCGTTTTTTATAGAGTATAATATTCCCTAACACACTGAGCACTCCATCATGAAAATGAATGCTTTAAATCTGCAACCACTATGCATATTCGATTGTGACAATACCTTAAATTTGGTGAGATTGTGGTTGTATTTACATCAGCAAGTAAAATCTTACTAAGGAAAGTTTTAATGCCCAAATCTATTTGTCTAAATCATTCAGATTAGCTCTGTCTTCAAAATAAATATGTAATTTTGCTATGCAAAGATAAACCCTAGGCTTATAGGTCACATGGCAGAGAGAACTGTAGACTGGTCATGGCTTTCAGCCCTGTTAAATAATGGAAGACAACAGCTGCCTTCTGTATTTGTCGTTAGTCTTCAGTAAACTAAAATGCAAGTGAATGGTGTGCCACTCTACCTATAAACAAGAGAAGATGCAGATAGGAAATTCACTCTTATGAACTTAATGGATCCAGAGCCTGGATAAACAGTGATGGTTCTTCAGATGGGCCAAATATTATCAGATGCATTTTGACTGGCAAAATGGAATGGGAGATGGGGTGCAATGGGTAGAAAACAGTTACCACACTCTATATTTTCTTTCTTCATCTTGTAAAACAGATTTATTTTTCTCCCTTTAAATTTAAACATTTGTGAGAAAACTACAAACAAAATTTACTTTAGTTTCATGACTCTATATAGGTTAACTTCAATGGGCTTTAAAACTGTCAAATTTATTTAAGAAAGAAAAAATCTTCCTTCTCAACTTGTAAGCAGAGACTTAGGACTCAACACACACACACACACACACACACACACACACAAACAATTTCAGCTTAAAGAAGTAATCAAGGCTCATTGTTTTTTGAAAAGCATTATTTCCAGGATAAGTATATTGCATGACAAATGACTTATTTCTAAGAGATCCCCTATCAAATTTTTTTCTAGAGTTACGTAAGTTTGTAAATGAAATTAGCAGGGATGGTCTCTAAGAATTTTGTATGCCCTATCTTAAAAGTGGTATTACAAAATTAAACACTTTCAAAGGTAAAGTGTTTCCCATATTTACTTTCTCTAAGTGTGCATAATAGGGCCAGGGACCCCACGGAAAAGGAATTGGGGTAAAAAGTGGTCCGCTGGATAATTTTTATTATAGCTGCATCCCCTCCTGTCTTTACCCTTCTCCCATGAGGTCCTAGAAATATTATGGTGTGCCTTAACAATAATGATTTAAAAATTTGTGGTCATCTCCTGTGGCTTCCATCCAAACAAAAGACAGGCATATGAGCTGAACATTTACATTAGGAAGATACACTCCTTGGAGAGATCAATCATGGGAGAATAGAAGGGCTGTGTATGCACAGGGAGACAGCTTGGAGTACAGGAGTGCATGTGAGGGAAGGACACAGGGAAGAGGTAACTATGGGGAGGAAGTGGGAAGAGAGCTGTTGCATTGTGGGAAATTGTAGTCAGTGTTGTGAGACAAAGTATATGTGAACTGCTTAATGAAAAATGAATTTGCTCTGTAAACTTTATCACCCAAATCACAATAAAAATAATAAAAAAATCTGCTCATAAATCATAAACTATAGAGCAACGGTTCTCAAAAGTGTGGCTCCCTAACAGGATGCTTGTTAGAAATGAAAATTCTCAGGCTTCAACCAGACTTAATGGATTAGAATCTGGGGATGGAGCCCAGCAATCTGTGTTTGAACAAGCCCTCAGGAGACTCTGATGCATTTTAAAGCTTGAGAACCTAGGATTTCAAGAGTTTCTGTGTTTATTCAACAGTGATGGATATTTATGGAATAATTAAAAGGGCTTAAGAAATATGATAATTAATAATTTTAGCCAATTCTATGCCTGTTCTATTTCTACTGCCTGTGTAACACAGTTAATGTGCTTGGCTGCTAGCCAAAAGCTTAGAGGTTCAAGTCCAACTTGAGGAGCCTGAGAAGAAAGGCCTGACAATCTACTTCCAAAAAAAATCAGCCACTGAAAACAGTACTCTGACACATATGGGGTTGCCATGAGTTGCAATCAATTGAATGGTCTGAGCATGTAATTAAATAAGGAGCTCTAGTGGCATAGTGCCTAAGGCATCTGACTGCTAACCAGAAGGTTAGGAGTTCAAACCCACCAGTCCCTTCTCGGAAGGAAGATTGGGGAATCTTCTTGCATAAAGATTTATAGCCTTGGAAACCCAAGGAGGGGTCGTTAGGGGTTGAATTGACTCGATGGCAATGAATTTTTTTTTTTTCTCTTTTGGTTTTATACTGAGCAGTAAGAACTAATTTAAGAGAAGTGTGGGGTCTCAGTCTCCATAAGCTAAGGACAGTGCTGTTCTAACACCAGACTAAACACTCATGGCTGCCCCAGGGCTTTGGGAACTTCTAGTGAATCTGAAGAAGGAACCCTGGTAGTAAAATGGTTAAATGTTTGCCTGCTAACCTAAAAGTCGATGGTTCAAACCCATCCAGCAGCTCCACAGGGGAAAGGCCTGGAGATCAGCTTCTGTAAAGACTGTTGTTGTTATTATGTGCCATTGAGTTGGACCTGACTCATAGCGACCCCTCCTTGGGTTTCTGAGGTGGTATCACTATGGAAGTAGACTGCCCAATCTTCCTTCCGAGGAGTGGCTGGTGGGTTTGAACTGCCAGCCTTCTGGTTAGCAGTCAGATGCCTTAGGCACTACGCTACCAGAGAAAACCCTATGGGAGAATTCTACTCTGTACACATGGGGGTCTCCATGAGTCAGAACTGATTCAATGGCACTCAACAACACAATGAATCTGATGATGGTGTGGCTTCAATAACATTTAATCACATTCTGAGTGGTATTAACTATTAGAAATGCAACAGCTGAGACATCCAACATTGGACATTTTAAATTAAGTTAAATATTCTTGGTAGTTCATGCATCCCTAAATATAAGGTGTGTCAAAAATAAGCTATTACTTTTCTAATACTCATGCTATAGCATATAGAATCTAATCAAGCAGAATACATGGCAAACATTCTGTTTTGAAGGAAATGTTTTCTGAAAAGTTGGACGGGATTGGCTAAGATATCAACATCAAAATTACATTTAGTGACCATGCCAAATTATTTTTAACTCTTGAAAAAACTGTCAGTGTCAACGATTGGGGCAAAGCAAGAAAGTATTGAACAAAACTATTTTCCCTAGACAGTGGAAGTAACAGCTTATCTATCTGGAAAACTGTAATAAAATCTTAATTTATTCAGATTCATCAAGCAAATTGTTCTTTATGAGATGATAACTTAATATGATATTTTTGTCACTAGTCTTATAGATAGCCCTTGTCAGCTAAAGCAAATACTGTGGCACAAGAGCTGAACAGATAAACAGGCCCACGGATGGCATAATCCCATGTTGACATAAGTGTCCCAAGAGAAAGCAGCATTATTTAATTTTTTTTCCAGTATGAGCTTAAAGTAATTTTCTCATTTTCAAAGTAAAATGCTGGTTTTTCTCCTGCCAAAAGGATATCATTTTACGTTTCATTTATGTAGCACTTTCTAATCAAATGAATCAAAGTAATTTAATTCATCAGTATTAAACAGAACAGTCTTGCTTACCATTTCCTCTCAATCCTATAAAAAAATTGGTTAGTTTGTGATGTGTACTTTTTGTTGGCATTAGTAAGAAGAGGGAAAAAAAGGAGGGGGGAACCTAAAGCAGATATCATTTTATTTCATTAATTGTATATATTCTATTATTTGTCAGACAGTATTCAAAAAGAGCATATGACCAGGCTCTTACGTCAAAATCAACCATATCAGATTTTCCTCCTCATCACACTGACCAAGAAAATGCTCTCTAGTGTTCACTCATTCTCTGACTGACAAACCAAAGAAATCTGAGCCCTGACAAGAGTTGACCTGATCTAAGCCTGGGATTAAAACCAAACGAAAAAACCAAACTTACTGCCACTGAGTCGATTCTGACTCACAGTGATCCCCACTGGGTTTCTGAGATTGTAAATCTTTACAGAAGTAGATTGCCCCATCTTCCTTCCATGATCCAGCTGGTGGGTTTGAACCGCTGACTTTCTGGTTAGCAGCCAAATGCCTTATCTACCACCAGAGTTCCTTAGCCTGGGATTAAACACTAATGAAAATATCAGCTGAAGCTCTATCACACTAAAAGCTAAGTCATATTTACCACTACACTGGTTGTAAACTGTGAGAGTTTATTCATAAATTACAGTATGTAATTTAACTATTGTAAAAATTTAATAAGTCAGAATCTTTTGGACTTCACATGACAGCAGTTTTCCTAAGCTTTTAAAATACATTAAAAACAAAGTAGAATGAAATAAATGAATTACTGGTAGCTGTCTCTTCTGAATGAACTCTTTAATGAATGTTTATATAATGGGTAGAAAATCTGCCCAGTCCAGAGCTGACTGGACTATGATTACACCAGAGGCAGCAAAAAACAATACATATTCTGTTATGTGTATTATATTAATAATGGCAGAAGGCATCCCTAAAGTTCACTAAACATTATTAAAACTCCATTTCAATATCTCCAGAGCCCAACAAGTTTCTGGAGCACAACAAGCATGAAAAAAAAAAAAAAGGCCATACCTCTGCAAATTGAAACAAGGCCGATGCCTGACACTGTTTTGAGGGTGCATCTGACTGGGATGTACTTGAAGATATCTGAAAGGGAATAAGTAATTGTTAAGGCACAAGGTCATTTGTCATATCAGACTTGTATTCTACCATATATTTCCACTGTAGACAATGATAAAGATTAAGACTGAGTCATCATCCTCAATCCCTTTTAAAACAACAATATAAGTGATAAAGGAAGACAAACGCCATGTTTCTAAAAACAGAGGATTGAAAGAGCAAAAAAGACTGTGTTTGGCTCATTTGCCTTGTTCCCTGTAAGGTTATCACATATGTATCAAGTAGCAGATCAGGAGACCTGTTGAAATGAATTTCCTAATTCCACTGAATTAAAAAATAGTTATTAAAAGCAAGAGGCTGCAAGTAAAGCCAGCCACTTTCTTCCTTACACAACACCCCTGAGCTGTTCTCTGCACAGAGACAGCTGTGAAACAGTGCTGGAGACATGTTTGGATGTGGGTCAGGGTATCTGGGATTGAATCTTAACTCTGCTATTTAACTGCTACATGACCTAGAACTGCTCACTTAACCTTTCTGAGACATATTTCCCAACTGTAAATTGATGATGATCCCTACTTCACAGGATCATGGTGAGAAGAAAAATAAGTCATAGTATACATTGCCTGGCATGGCACCAGAACTCAATTAAATGTTCACTGAATATGAATAGCATTATTTTCATTTACAACAACTTGCCCTCTCCCACCCAGGACAAGCACACACACACTTAGGTGTCTGAGAGTGGACAGATGATATTGCCACAACATATTCATTCAACTAGTAGAGATCTCTTATTTCCAGTTGGTAGTTATAGTAGCATCATTAAAAGTTTGCTCTGTGGGCCATGTGGAAACACTTCTCAAGGAATTTTTTTAGATCAAGGTTACTTAGTAATTTTGGTTCCAAAGTGTACACATCCTCTATCTAACTACAGAATAAGGTGTTTGTGAGTCATGAGAGCAGAAAGTCTAAGCCTTGTAATTCAGCACATTCCCAGACTCACAAAAGTCTTTTTCTTCAATTAACTGTGCTCACCAATTCCATCAAATTATACTTACTAAGCAATAAATGCAGCTTAATCATAACTCTAATCACAAAATCATTTTTTTTCCTCTTAATTAAATTAAGGTAATTAAGAAAAAAATGAGGCCAGTTGGTGATGCAGTATCAAAGTGATGTTGAAGGATGAGAAAGAACTGGTAGAGACTGAATTATTGATTTTGTTCACTGCTGAAGCCATGAGGAAAATTTCCACTTCACACTATCTTTTGAATCAGACAGATTCCAAAGAATGAGTTTCAGTAAAATTAACAAGCTCTAAACTTTAGAAAATTGTATCTAATTTAACAAATTAGACATAAACAAACCATTATGAATGGTTAAGATTTATCCAAGTGTTTTGAACATACTCATGGGTGAAAGTGTTCTACACTTTTGTTTATCAAACCATGAAACCTATCATTTCACAGACTTTGAATATGAATCCACAATTATTTTTCTGAAGACCTGGAAATTATAAATTGGGTAAGTGTTACTTTATATATTCTTTTTCATTCCTACAAGTCCTCTGTAAAAGTTATAGAAACTAAACACTTAAAAGGAAATAGCTAATCTTTATTTTTTTCAAGGATTAAATTAGATGGTGAATAGAACCAGTAGTATAATTCATTTAGATGTCTGTAAAGCATTTCACAAGTTCTAAGGAAAAGGATGTTTTTATAAATTAATATAAAGGAAAAGGAGTCAATTAAGTAAAATGACATGAATAGGGAGCTGCTAGAGAAATACTAGATTAGAGACACCTTATATAAAAGAAGATAGGGTCAGGGATCTCCTTGGAATCTTAAATGTACTATAAAACCCACAAAAATGCACAAATGCCAACACAGTCACTATTTAACCTAAACTAGACATCCCATTAGGTCTTTAGGGGTTCAAGGGTAACTGGTTAACCATCTCTGCTTTCAAAGTTCTGAACAGTATTTAACAAGTTTATAATTTCTGTCAAAAAAGCAGTGCAAAGGAATCTTCTATTATACTGAATTCTTGTGAAAGAATATAGACAACAACAAATTCACAGCAGAGCTCACACAGAGGCAGAAAGGGAAATGGTAGATAAGAAGTATTATATAAGCTAAATATTGTACAACATTCTGGTGATATCAGCAAGGCATTTTGGTATAATATAAACAATGCCTTAAAGAAATGGCCTAATGTACCAATGTGCAAAATAGTTTTGCCAATGAAATGTTAAGGAACATCAGGAAGGGCATGGGGGCAGGGGTTGGGGTGAGCAGGATGAAACTAAAAATACGCTCCCATCATACAAAACTGTAACATGGCAGGCAAACATCAGGAAGGACGACAGTGGTAGAGAAGGTCCTAATGAAAGACAATTCAAATGATCAAGTGAGACCAGGTGGTTGAAAGTTTAGAAAAAATTAATCAATGATGGCTCCATATTGAGGTCTAGGATAAATGGAGATATTTTGGGAAGTAGCCCTAACCTCTAGATTCGATACCAAGGATAATGTGCCTTTCTGTATCATCGCTTTGAACCAGTGTCGGAGACATACTGAGCAGAGCATCTGACACAAGACTTTGAAAACTGCCCCAACTCATTGCATATGAATATGTCAAGTAAGAGAAAAGGAAAGCGTGCAGGGGAAGGGGAAAATGCATAGCCAATAACTATGATTTGATTCTTTCAATTCATCAAAATCAAAACGTAATGAATAACTAAGTTCTAACAATTCAATCATACTCCTAATCTTACTAAGCTATGAATTAAAAATAAGTGATGAAGTTTAAGTGTAATAATACTCAGTGTGACTTAACAACAAGCTTCTATCAACATAACTGTAGCTACTCCTCAATTAAGAGACTCTGGAGTTCTAAAAATGTCTTTTCTAAAATTTGATTCTATTTTCCCATTTATGAGTAATTGAAATTGAGTGGAGCTCTTCACTCCTTTCAGTTACTGTCATAAGCCCACATTAAGGCTTGCTTTACAACCTCCTCATTAATTAAGTATAAGATGCAATACATCACCTCAGCAAACTGAAATAATGGTGACTTCTGACGAGATTCAGGGGATTCTGGAACATCAGGCCTGCAAGTGCCCGAGGATACCTAAAATAAAGAAGGATGGCATGAAGGGTCACAGAAACAGCTTATAGAAGCCAACAGAAGACAAAGGTCATCTAAAATACAACTATCTTGAAGACACTGAGGCTTTAATTCCCCATTTTGAGGAAAAACTATTAAATTATTATTATTTTATTATTATTCAACTATTAAATAATGCCACATTAATAATAATAACTAATAGTAAGAAGTACACAGCATGATGAATCTTAGAAAGATTAGTATTTATCTAAGAATAATTTATATGGTGATGCCCCTTTGACTGCTTGTATATATACCAATAGTTTTTCTACTTCTTTTATGTCTGTGTTCCCCAATATTCTGTATCACCTATAACAGACTTACAGTCTTTTAAGACTTAGAACATAAACAAGAGCTGGCAGTATGAACAATTTTGAAAAAAAAACTAAAGTTTTCTTGTGTTTATATACATGCCTGATCTTAAAAAGCTTAGTATTTACCTAAAGGTCTTTTTCATGTTTTCTTTTATCTTACTTAGTATATTGAGTAAACATTCAATGCTCTGCTATCTTCATTTGGAGGAGCTGTGGTGAGGTAGTGGTTAAGCACTTGCCTGCTAACTAAAAGGTCAGCAGTTTGAACCCACTAGCCAATTTGTGGGACAAAGATGAGGCAGTATGCTTCCATAAAGATTTATAGCCTCAGAAACTCTATGGGACAGTTCAACTCTGTCCTATTGGGTTACTATGAATCAGAATTAGTTGGAAGGCAATGGGTTTGACTTTTGGTATCTTCATTTTCTATCTTTGTTATTAATAATAAGTGCTAGAGAAATAGCACTGCTTATTTTTTAAAACATAAACTGCTATCAATTAAGCACTCTTCTCGGGATATACATTTGCTATTTGATATCAATGCTCAATTGACTCATTTTTGCAACTGGGTGACAAAATTACTTGGGCAGCCAACTGTAATTCCAAAGTCACAGGAGTCAAAGAATGTCAGAGAAGGAAGGATTTCATTAATCCTCTGCCCAACCCTTTCTCTTGTAGCAAAAGAAGAAATGGAGGTCCAGAAAAGTAATTTGGCCCCTCCCCTCCCCAACATTCACTAAGCCTCTTACCTGTTTTTCTTCATGACATTTAGCATTTAGTACCACAAGACTTAAAATATCTGCTTACTATCTTGTCTTTTCCAGGGGCTTGCTCAATGCAGGATCCCCAACACTGCCTGGGCACAATGTAGGTACTCAACAAGTATTTGCCAAATAAACTAATTAAAGTGGACAACAGAGGTCTTCTAAATCCCAAATCACTGTGCTCCCTTCCCCTTTCCTGAATGACAAGGTTACTGAGTCTTATTGGAAAACTTACCTTTTACTTTAAAAGTAGAAAGAAATTACAAAATGTTTTTTTAATTACTTGTTTTCTGATTGCAAAAAAATCCAAACTCACCATTGAAAATATAAGACACACATACACAAACAGAAGAAAAATCACTTAAATTATTACCACCCAAAGTTAAGCACCATTAATATTTTGTATATATTCTCCCAGCTGTGTATACATTTTTTTTCAACTAAAAGGAGATATTTATACTAAAGTTATAGAGTGTTCTTATTTTACTTCATATGTTAATTTCCTGCATTATTAAATAATCTTTTTCAATGTAATCTTAATAGCTGTATATTCAGGAGTTCTGGTGGCGTAGTGCCTAAGGCACTTGACTGCTAACCAGAAGGCTAGCAGTTCAAACTCACCAGCCACTCCTCGGAAGGAAGGCTGGGCAATCTACTTCTGTAGTGATATCACCTTAGAAATCCAAGGAGGAGTTGCTATCAGTTGGGTCCGACTTGATGGCAGTGAGTTTGGTTTAGTTTGGTTATGTGATTCTATTGGATATAGAATCCTATGGAACCGAGTCACTCAGGTTATGCTACTAAAAAGCATCTCACCAAATCTCTTCATTAGGCATTGAGGATCCGTTTCTCTAATAGACCATCAGGTAGGAGCAAGCATTTAAAATTTTAGTTGTCATCTTTGGATTTGAAAGAGTAATGGATACTTTTTTTATCAGTGACAAGCTCCATAGAGAAGGTGTAGAAGCTTTAATTAATTTGCCACTTGTGGTTTGGCTGCCAAAGCCCAACTCCCTTATTGCCACTTGATTATTTGACAAGTTGTGCCAAATGTCCCCCACAGTGTTTTCATTTGCTTCCCAAGAACTTGAAGCCAATGAGACCATAACATGCACTAAAAAGAAAGCCAAAAATTTCCTGAAATTAGTAACCATAAGGATTGGGAATGCCTTTATTTGAAGGTATACTTGAACAAATATATTGTAATTTAGAAATGACAACAACAGAAAATCAACACATGTACTTCCTGGTTTATAAAGAAGTCCTGTGTGTTTGGCTGCTAGATATGTTGGTAAATAATCAGAATTTAATTTAATATCAAGCTTAGAACTAAATAAAATTTAAAAAATATGTCTATAAAACTCTAGTGACAGAGGTTGTGTATGTGACAAAAATCCATAAATAATAATCAGAATCGAATGGATTATCATTTAGTGACACTGCATGAAGCCTATAGAACATATATTCTTATTAAAGATCTGATAACACATGAGAAATAGTTAGCATTTATAAGGAGATAAGTTACCGTAAAGGAGGTCTGGTGGTCTGAAACCACCAGCCACTCCACGGAAGAAAGATGAGGTGGTCTGCTCCCAGAATATTTATAGCCTTGGAAACCCAATGGAGTCACTATGACTCAGAACTGACTTGATGGCAGTGAGTTTGGGTTTCTTGGAAGTTACTCTAAGGCTTATAACACATTAATTATAAGAAGAAAATCCAACTTTCTTTTAAGTGACATGTATAGATTCTTTGACATAACTATACACCCAGTCGTAAAATTTAAAAGTAAAATGAATCCCTTTGCACATCTTTAGGATGGATGGTCTTAAATGAAACTTTCAATTTAAATGCACTATTCAAACGTCTTTATCAAGGTATCTGTCATCCTTCATATGTTATGTCAGCTGCAGCATGCAATCAAAAGATTCTACGCATATGTGTGTGTGCTCACCACGTACCAGACACAAAGCAGACGCTCAGCAAGTAGCTTTAAATTACTTGACTCTCTTCATGTGCATGGGAATATAAGAAAATTTTGATGACCTGGCCAGAAAGTACACACCAAAGACCACATGAAATAGTTATTCTTACATTAATACTGTGGATTTGCTATTTATCTTAAGTGTAGTATAATGGAAACAACATGTCAGAAACATGAGTTACTACTAAAACATGTGTTACCTGACTTTCTAATCCACAGCAAACTGGAAGCACTAAATCAGATGAGGCCAAGGGTACAGATAAGAAAGGTTTCGAAAGGAAAAAAACAAGGCCAGTGGTAGGTAGCACCAAATAGGAGGGGGAAGACAGGAAAACTGAGGAATAGACACAAATGTGCAATAAAGCACTGTAATTTATCTAAAACAAATTAAAGTAGGACAAAAAGTCCCCAAATTGTTTTTGGTCACCATAATGCAGTAATTATTATTTGTAACTATGATTCTACGTTGCCAAGCTAAGGCTAATATACAACATATCCTTTATTGTTGTTGTTGTTGTTGTTATTGTGGTTATGTGCCGTCGAGCTGGACCCGACTCATAGTGACCCCTCCTTGGGTTTCCGAGGCAGTATCTCTACGGAAGTAGATTGCCCCATCTTCCTTCTGAGGAGTGGCTGGGGTTTGAACAGCCAGCCTTCTGGTTAGCAGTCAAGTGTCTTTAGGCACTATGCTACCAGACCTGCATGATCTACATCATACACTGCCAGTTGCCATGCAGATGGTTCCAACTAATGGCGACTTGATGCATTCAGAGAAGAACTGCTCTACACAGGGTTTTCATGGTTGTGACCTTTCAAAATGAGACTGCCAGGACTTCCTTCCAAGGTGCCTCTGTGTTGGGTTTGAGCTGTCAACGTTTTTGTTAGTAGCCATGTACAAATTCGCTTGCGCCATCTAGGGACTCCATGTTAGATATATTCCCATTTAAAAATGTTGTTGTTGTTGTTGTTATGTGCCTTTGAGTCGGACCCGACTCATAGTGACCCCTCCTTGGGTTTCTGAGGCAGTATCACTACGGAAGTAGTTTGCCCCATCTTCCTTCCGTGGAGTGACTGGTGGGTTTGAACCACCAGCCTTCTGGTTAGCAGTCAAGTGCCTTAGGCACTATGCTACCAGCAAAATGTAAAAAGGGTTCAGTGACCCCCCAAAAAAACTATATATGTAGAACTCATTCTGAGTGCTTGATTAATGCAAGTATGTATATTTATATAAAACTAATACCCATACAAACATATTTGGTAATGAAATATGAGCTTCTTTTCACCTGAAAAGGAGGGGTTGTTTCCTATAAAAGACTCTTATTTCAGTAATGCTGTTAGTAATGTCATTAAACACTGTGAAATGTCAGAAATACTGTGTGGTGCTATGTCACCTGCTATTTGTTTTTAAGGCGTTTTAACTTACTTATTGCTATTAGGCAGGGCATGCTTTACATGTATAAACATCAATGCCATCAATATCTATTCCCATGCCAGAAGAAGCTTACTTTCTAAGTATAACAGACAGATTCAAAGAGTAAATTATATGTGTTCATTAATAATAAGGAAGGAAAAGATATCAAGTAAGTGGAGGTTAATTAAAAGGTAAAAAAAAACCCAAGATACTCTTCTAAAAATAGTCTCTGAAATAATCCACAAAGCCACTAGGTGTTGCTATATGCCCAAGAAAGAAATTAGCTAAAGGGATTTTAAAACCAAGTATTATTAACAACATATTCAAGTTACCTTAAACCAGTCCTCCTTTTGATTTAGCTACAATTCTCAATAAGGAAGGAAAGGGAATAATTGGTACAGTCATGCATTGTTTAACATCTACAATACATTCTGTGAAATAAGACATTATGTGATTTGGATGTAGTACAAACACCATATTATATACAGGCA